CGGGGTGGAACCCACTTACAGGGAAGGCAGAAAGAGAAGAAAAAAAAAGCCCCGAGTGAAGATCACAATGAGACAGACTCCACTCCGCGAAGAAGAAGTGACAGAAACAAAAAACAAGATATGCGTCTTGATCTATATACATTGGCATCTTCTAGTCACACCAGATACATATTATACATCCATGCAGGTGCCTGTTATTTTTTTTCCTTCTCTTTACCTTTAAGGTGCTCGTTAGTTACCGTCCCTCCTGCATCCACCCACCAGGTATAGTCAAATTGCCCCTTCCTCCCCCCTGCTTCTCCACTGCTCCGCAGAGCATCGAAGGCATAGATATATAGATATACATATCTATACATATATACACATACATATATGTATATAGTACAAATCGGAGGCATCCACCCACGCAGTGTGCCAAAGAAGAGTCACAACCCTGGTAATAAGCCACGCTGAAGATGAATCCAAACCATAATAGGAAGCGGGAGGAAGTGAAAAAAAAAACACTCCACTAGGTGCAATTATTTTCACCTCAGTGTTCAACAAGCTTTGGGAGGTGTAACGACTTCCAAGAAGACACCGTGACACCATGGGCATTAGAAATCGCCGCACGCACCGCCATTTTTGCTTGCGTCTGGGTCAGCTGCAACGGCGGCGGTGCTGGTGGCCCCTCAAATGCGTCGGCAATCCACGGATGCCGCATCGCCTTGCGCGGGGGAACCCGATCTTCGGGGATCCAGCAGATAAACTGCCTGACAAAGCTAACAAAGCCATCATCTTCAGGAAGGCCAAGAAAGGCTGCCAAGGACTTTGTCCCTGGGTATCGTATCTTTCTTTTGCTGTTGGGAAACAACTTGGGGGCATGACCCGCATTGGCGTCAAACAGTTCGTGTCTGCGCGGGGATTGAAGTATGAGCTCATCCGGAGGGGTGCCAAGGTACTCCATGATGCAAGCCAGCTGGTCCTGTTCACTCTCTCCCGGAAAAATGGGAATTCCTGTGGCAAGTTCGCATAGAACACAGCCATAACTCCAAAGGTCTATGTGTTTGGTATACGAACGGCCTAGGATCACCTCAGGGGCACGGTAAAACCGAGACTGAATGTATGTGTAGATGCGGGCATTTTCGAAGCAGGAAGATCCAAAATCAATTACCTTTACAGCTGCCCTGTCAGGTGTTTTAAGGAGTATGTTTTCTGGCTTCAAGTCACAATGAATAATATTCTCACGCCATATGTACGAAAGCGAGACTAACAAACTGGCGGCAATCCTGCGGACGACACTCAATGATAACGGACGAAAATTACGTTGTTTGAGGTGCTCGTAGAGATTCAGCGACAAAAGCTCGTAGGTAATACACACGTGCGAACGAAATGTAAAACTATCGAGCATTTGAACTATACCGTAAATTCCGTTGGGATCACCCCGTCGAAGATGCGATAGAATTTGCACCTCAATTTTTGCCTGTGATAGAAACCGCTTCTTGTTTCGTATAATCTTCAGTGCAACCGTCGTGCCCTTGTGGTGGTCCGCAACCTTAACAACCTGACCAAAGGACCCACTCCCCAGGGCACCTAGCACCTCATAGCGGTAGGCTATATGGTCATGAAGCCTGATTGTATAGTCCCCGCGTTCGTCATCGTAACCGCTATTGTAACTGCCCTCTACAGGGGCCTGAATTTTCCGCTCGCAATTCTGTCCAGTGTAGTACACCTCCGAGTACCCTTGAATTTCGTTTTTCTCGTATTCCGTCAAGTGAGTGGCACGATAGTCCGCTGAGGGTGCCGCCTTGCTAATCGTGGACGTTCCTCGCAGATTGGCAAAGCCGGGGTTTCTAGTCGGCGGCAGACGAAGCCGCGGCTTGTTATAATAGCGGAAAGGACCCGGCAGTGTATCCCCCTGCAGTTTGTGTGTGCTGTACATCGTATCCCGTCAACTTGGTCCTTCCTTCAGCTTTTTTTTTGGTTTGTTTGTTTGCTTTGCGCTTCTCGATGGCCAGATGGATGTGTTATAGATCGCAGTGTCTACTGCTACGCTCTGCACCCCGGTAAGAGGTGGGAGAAGAACCAGGTGGGCTTACCTCTGTTAGGGGGAAAACAAGAGAGACCTTACCTTTCCTGCAAGGCGAAAAAAAAACAAGAGAGAGAGAGAGAGAGAGAGGACAAAAATAAAAATCAAACGACATGCAATCTCTGCAGCCCACACGTGTGTCTTCGGCGCCCCGCCCCAGAGAACATTCTCCTCCTCCTCCTCCTCAGGGAGACCTCTTCGCCCTCCCTCTCGCTCCAGCGCCCAACGCGTGGATCAGGCCAGAGTGTCCTCGAGACACCCCACCACCGCCTCCAGCGTGGCATACCAAGACATCCACTCACTCGGCTCCCGCATGGGATCGGGCTCACGGAGGGTGAAGAAGCGCTCGGAATATTCCTCAAACCCAATCACCGCCAGTGCATGTTCGGATGCATGGGCGCCACACGGCAACAGAATCGGTGGGCTGTTGCCAATAATGGCGCCAAGCGAAGACGTGGGCGCGGTCGAGTACTCCACGTGATATCCCAACATATACCACAAAACCTCAGCCGCGGCCACGAATTCCTGACACGTTTGGCACCCACTACAAAATGCAACATGACTGTACTCCATCATGACCCTCATATTGTTACACCGAATTCTTCGAATGTTAGGGTCCTCTGGCGTTGTGCGCAGGGCCCGCACAAGCTGAAGCATGTTTCCCGCCAGAACTTTCCGAAACGGCTCTGGAACACGCAGCAACACGGCCTCGATGCCGTCAACCCCGCAATGGCTAGAGGCCTCCATTAACCTCCTGTGTTCATCGCTGCGACGCTGCACCTCCGCCTCCCATTTCGCTGCCTCTCTCGCCTTCAACATTTGCTGAATACTAGTCTTATCGGTTTGTTTGGCTTGCATCAGCGTCTCACGTGACTGCTTCTCTTCCGCTCCATAAACGGCGCGCGTTTCTGTTTCAAATAGAAACAAATCCGAAAAGTTTGTCGCAAGGCGTTTTTGCCAGGCCTCTGTTTGCGCACGGCGCAGCAAATGCTGGCTATACGCATTTTCCGCCCACGCTATGGATGGGCACTCCTCGAGGCTTAGTTTATCCTCCGAGAGAAGCATCTCCTTCACCAAGCCCCCGAAGAGGCATCCAACCACCTCGCACATATCCTCAAGGAGCTGCTTTATCGCCGCGCACATTGCCTCATTGTATATTTGGCGATTAGGGTCCGTTTCGGTGGCCTTGCGGAATATTTTCAGCAGTCGCGGCCGGGCGTTCGCAACGAGTGTTTGAATTGACACTGAAAGGGCATGCAACGCCTCGGCGTCCTCCTCGTCGCCGGCCGCAAAATTGCGGTTCAGCAACGTGACCTCCTCCCGCAGCTGAGACACCAGGGCGCAGAGCTTTTTGTACTCCGTCATGGCCGGGGTGAGGGGAGGGGAGGGGAGGGGGGAGTGCCGGTGGCGTCCACAAATTCCCGCGCCGCCACCAACCCTATCAACGTCTCCTCTTCCTCCCCCTACTGAGTGCAACGGCAGAATAACCAGGAGGCAAAAATAAAAACAAAAAAAATGAAAAATAAAAATGAATCGAAGTGGGTGCGCCAACGACGGAGGTGCAAAAATTCACCCCACTCACCTTCCGTTAACACCCAACTGCCTCAAGGAACAGGCTACTCGCCACTTATCTTTTCCTCACCAAGCTGCAATCGAATGACCTGCGCCAGCGAGTCCACAAAGTAGTCATTGTTAACAATGGCCATGTATGGGTTCACAGCAACGCAATATTTACGCTCAGTTGCGGCATCGGTGATGCCTTTCCCCGTCGCTATATCGCGCAGGTCCACAATCGATTTTTCCTCCCCAATAAAGATGTTGTCGTCAAAGAAGGCGTAGAACCGCGGCGTAATGGAGTTCGCCCCAGCAGAGGAAGAGGTAATGGCCACCGGAAACACCTTCCCTCCAGAACGTCGTTCGGCTCCACTGGCCCAAAACGGGTAGTAGTCTACAATTCCACCGATGTTGTTCGATGCTGAAGTGTACTCCCAAAGTTTATCGTGCAACAGCTGGAAATTTGTTTGGTGAACCTCTTTGCAGGACGGCATCGCTGACAGCTGCGCCAGGACTTCGGACGGAGGGAGTGTCTCTGTCCCCTCCGGATACTTTACCACAGAAGGCTTGTCTGGCCCAAGACAGAAAAAGAGCTGATCCTCCGCGCGAAAAATACACCCTGTCGCCTCAGGAACGTACTTCTCTTTCAAGTCCTTAAGCACTGCCCCCCGTGGCTGGTAAACATGCTCGCCAAAGACAAACTGTCGCCACTCCCGCAGCACATTAGCCATGTCGTTGCCGAAGGTCCGAAATATCAGTGTAAACGGCCAATTTAGCTCGGAGAGGGTGTTCACAAGTTGAAAAAAAGCTGGAATCATGGAATGATTTGGTGTGGCGGTCAAGACCCTCCTCTGTTCCTCAACATGGCGCATGTACTTTTCGCCCGGCTGGCCAGCGTGCGTGAAGACCCGCACCATCGCCCTCCGCCTCGCAGCAATTTCGCGCCACATGCGGTCTCGCTCCGACTTTGGGCGCTCCTGCATGCCCGGAGGCTCGGCATGTAAATCATCCACGTACTTCTCGAACGTTATCAAACCAGAACGATCTCCCTCCTCCTGAGGCCCAAGAACAGCCACCCACTTGTCTCCGTCGCAGCGCCCCAAGACGTTCGCTGCGACGTTGCCGTTAAGCGCATCCTCCAGTGTTCGCCCGCCGGCGGAATCAAACTGAATGATCGTCCTGTTGATGTCCATGTGGATCACCAAAGGCCGTCGCGGGCATCGCTCCAGAAACGCGCGCGACATCCGCCGTGCAAAGAGATGTGGAACTAACGCAATAACCCAGAAAACGCAAATCGCAAAAAAAACAAAAAATAGTGCAGGCACGCAGAGAGATAAAAAACTCTCTCGCCGAACAACAATCGGCGTCAGTCAACACGGAGCCGCCCTTCACAAATTAAAAAAAAATGCAAATACTACTGATGGTCGCCAATGCCCAAAGCCCACTTCAAAAAAAAACATAATAATAATAATAATGATAATGACACTAGTTTGGGACGAGAGACTCTGCCATACGCACACACCGAGAGAGGGTAATAGCGTGGAGGGGGAAAAAATGGACAAAAAAAAAATGGGTGTGCGTGTAAAACTAATGCAGCGAGCACCAAAAAATAATAATAATAACGAAAACGATAGCAAAAAAACATGTATTGTCCGCTATTAGCATTAAAGGTCGTCATCATCAAGAACGATAGCTGGTGGTCCGGCCACCTTTACAGGAGGAGGTGCGGGGGGGAGAAGCTCCTCATCGGAATCATCGTCCAGCGTCAGTTCCATGCGGGGAGGCAGAGGAAGATGAATGTCGTCGTCATCGTCGTCGTCACTCAGCGTGACACCAACTGCAGCTTTGCCAGTGGGATATGCGGCCTTCGGGGTAAGCGTGTCCAATGCAGCATCAGTCCCAACCGCAGGGGACGCCGTGTCTAATTGCGAAGCGGCGTCGAGAATCTTTCGACAGTGAGTGGCATCCGAGACCCCAAAGGTCATTAAATCTGATACATCCATGCACTGCAGAACATCTAAATCAACGTGCTGACTCAGCAGCCTTGGAGCATACTCCGACAGTCCAATCGTCAGGAGTAGTGCTGTGAGTGGGTCTGCGGGGCCAGGGGTGGCGGCTTCGGTGAGGAGAGACTTGTCAACCGCAGGTGTTCGATCTTCCCCATTTGTGTTCAGGCCATTGTTGCTGCCTGCACCTGCTCCATCCCTGTTCGCGTCAATCACCTGACGAAGACGCATCTTGGTGGTTGGTGAAACAACATGAAGTTTATACCCCTCATCTCCACTGAGCCGCAGCTGCTGCGACTCCGCAAGTACCTCAGCCGTGGGAACGTTGATGGGCATGACGCTGAGACTTTTGCCTGTTGTCACAGAAAACAGCCTAGCAAGAATGGAGGCCACTTGCGTGCCTCCCGAAAAATCCTTCACCACAATGTCGGGCTCTGGGGACTTTACATGCACGGCAAAAAAGGTCGCCTCAGGACCCTGATAGATCCTTCGAATGTGACTGATAAGGCTGCAATACAGAATGGTGGCGTTGTGGGTAAAAATATAAATTGCCTTGTCCCCCACCACAAGATGGTGGCGCGCCGGATGGCTCTCCTTTCCCGTAGTGGCGGTTACAAGTGTGACGGTTGCAAAAAAGTGGATGACGGCCTTCTCCAGCACCGCAAACCTGAACAAGTGCTCCAGCGGCACCTGCGCAAAAGGCAAGCTTGTCCGTGGATCGATGAAGGGAAGGCCAAAGTTCAACGGTTCCATGAGTCCAGCGGCCGCGCAGACGCTCCGAATGGCTTGGTGCCACTCCTCAAACACTTCACGCGTTGGCATGCGGAGAGTCCACTGATCCTCCTTGCCGTCTTCATGTTTCCCGTCGATCATCAGCGTAAACAGGTCGGACGCCTTCACCTCCATCACCTGGCAGCACCGCGCCACCTTTGTGACGATGAGGGCACCCTTCGGGGGCTTGCACTCATCCTCGGCGTACGACAGCCTGCGCGACTCCGGATCAAAGGTCACGTACCGCTTTTTAAAAGCTTTGGTGAAGAAAGCGGTCTGTCGCTCGCACCAAACCGCTAGCGTCTCCATACCCTGCTAAACACACGCTCGCTCTGTTCCTTTTGTGTTTACGTTCTACTTTGTTCTTGTTTTTGTTTTTGTTCTTCTTTTTTTTGTTTTTTTTGTATCGCGCTTAGTGGCGCCGGTGGTGAAAGGGGCACTACTTGCTTTGGTACTTCGAAAGAGTAAACCAAAGGGCATGTCGAGAATGCAACCGCCGAAGACGCGCGCGCCGCAGAGGATGGGAGCCGCTACAACTCAAGCAGCACTGCCCGCCGCAATGGAACGTGCGCCCACGGAAAAAAAACACAGCAGCGCCGCGGATTCCCCGCGGCACACACGGGAAAGGAGCAGTGTTTCTTTTTCTTTTTCTTTTTTCCTTCTTCTTCTCTGTCACGCTTGTGCGACTTTACCGCACAAAGGTTTCCTGCAGCCGCAACGGATGCAGTCCAGTAATGCGAGGGAAAATCTCGAGAAAGTACCAAAGAATGTGCCCAACAAAGTGCTCCACCACGATAAGCCGAATGCTTCGCTGCACGTCAAACATGATGGCAGTGGCGAGGAAAAAAAACGGCAACAGTCGCACTGGAATCGTCACCAAGAAAAAAACGTTCACTTCCAGGTCCGGCAGCAGGCGAGAGAAGAGGTACGCCAAGGCGTTGCAAAGCGAAAAACTCAAATAGGGGGTATCCACAACACGAAGAATTCGAAAGAGCAGCAGATGCGACATCGCCGCGAAGAGGGTGACGCAGTAGTCTATTTTTCTTCGGTGAAAGTATTGCACCTCGATGCTGCTACTCACCACACACAGCCAGTGGAGTTCCAGAATGCTGTTTAGGTCAAGTTGGCCAAAGTAGAAAAAGTTGGTAATCAGCCGCCAGTACTGTTTCTCCTGGAACACAAGCAGCGGACTAAAGACAATTTCGACCGGATGCACCACGCCAAAGGACACCAGCACCACGGAGGCTATTGACAGCAGCAGCAAGGCCCTCGTCACGAGGGGAATGCCGTGGAAGATCTCAAAATCCATCGCGGATGCAAAGAGAAAAAAAAAGAGTAGCGTAAATTGCGTGGTGGCACGGCAGGCCTCACCGCCTTCTCAGCCCCCCTCCCCCACCCCTCACTCCCCCGCTATATATCGCTCTGTGTTAGTTTATGGGAGCTCCCTTCAGCGCCCTGGATGCGCAGGCTGTGGCTACGGAAACAAAAAGAAAAAGAAAAAGAGAAGAGGCCCCAGCTACTAGGTAAAAAAAAAACAGCAATAAACAAACGGAAGCCAATAAAACAAGAATAAAAGTCACCACCCGGACCGCCACGGAAATGTCGATAGTTGCGTCGCCATGGCAGCGACAAATAACACGATTTTCCATTTCTTTTACCCTCTCTTTCAGTGTTTGGCTTTTCATTCCTTTCGCCTCTTCTTTCGCCTTCCCCCCGTTCCCTTCTCCTCCCTCCGGTGTGTGCATGGGAAAGAGTGGGGGAGGCAGAGAAAAGAAAGGTAGCCGTGGGGGAGGGCGTGGCTTCAACGAAGAAATAGGAGCGCTGCCGACTCCCCGGCGATCAGTCCATCCCCCACCCAGCAAACAGAAAACAAGCCCTCATCCCACCGGTCAAATGCCTCGGCACGGCCGCGGAAGCATATCGCAAGCGTCACCAGCCCCAATAGCACTGGAACCAGCACACAGCTAGCCAGAAGGGCCCCCGTGGCGACGCGACGCTCACGAATCTGCGTGAAACCCACCACCGTCGCCCAGGCGAGCAACACACCGACCAGGCGGAGGTGCCACTGAAGGATGAAAAGAAGCCATTCCCGCCCATCATCATGAAACTGCAGCAAAAAAAGTGCTGTGAAAAAGCAGCAAAGAATCAATAAAAGCATCGGCCATGATATCAGGACGTCTCGCAGTCGAAGCTGCCGTGTGGATCTCCGTGACGCCATCCTTGATAGGTTGCTCAAGCCCTCGTTAATGAATGTATCGTACTTCTGCTCCAGTTGTTGCAGCATCTTCACTTCCTCGGCCTGTATTTTCCCAGCCTCCTTTTTGGCGCGCAGGAGATCTAAACTGTACTCATCGTCTCGCGTGAACTCGGGCATTGCCACCACCGCATCCCACAGCCTATGCCCTGTATGAGCCCTTCGCTTTGCAAAAGGGCTAAAATAAAAACAAAACAATTAAAAAATAAAAATAAAAAATAAAAAATAAACAAGCCCCGGCAAAAGATTCAACATCAGATACAATAGCAACAGAGTCAAAAAAAAAACTTTCAATATATATATATGTATATATAAACAGATGTCAAAGCCATTACTTCAGAGACAGGTCTCGCTACTCCTCTGCAATGCCACATTTCGCCGCTGAAGCGTGAGCCAGCACAACATGATCCATGCATGCGCCAAAGGTATCCAAGGCAAAATCATAAAATATTCAACGCACACGCACACACGACTCTCCTCCGGCGTCGGGGAGACGCAGATACAAGAACGGCTTGCGATGTGGCGAGGGGTAAAAAAAAAGAACGAAATGGAAACAAGAACACACACACACATATATATATATAAAACAAGTGAAAAAAAAACATCTATTGTATGCATTGTGACATGGGAGGAGTTATTCGTTTGTCTTTTATTTCTTATTTTCTTTTCCTTCGCTCCTGAAAGATATTATCCCCTTTACGTGGAACTCATCGATCCGTCAGAACTCGTCTCCGTCCCTTCCGCCACCTCCCCGGACTCTTCACCCTCCATCGTGTCGTCCTCTGTGGCCAGCGGCGTGCCATTCTCGACAGAAGCGCGTGTGTCGTCGGAAGTTGACCCACTCACGGTCCTCGTGTCGTTGGATTCGCTTGTTTGCCCCTGCCGCGCAACGCCACTGCTGTCATCGTCGCTCTCCTCGTCTGTCTCATCCGCGTCGCTGGAAGACCAGAAACTGTCTCGGTCCAATTCGTCCTCGTCAACGTCCTCGTCCACCCCAATATCTTCCTCACTCGCATGGTCGCCACTGCCGCGAGGGAAGGAGAAGCTCTGCTGCCCAGGGAGTGGCCCAGACGAGGCTGAAAACATCCGCACTACAGGCTCTACGTCTGGGGCAACAATGGCAGCGCAGTACCTCCCCGAGGGGTCAATGGCGAACTCTCTAAAGGGTGGACGAAGCTCGGTGGAAAAAATCGTCTCAAGGGTGTGGCTTTCCACAACAGAGAGAACTGGGCAGTCAGAGTTTTCACTAAGTGACACACTGCGAAAACTGTAAATCACTTCACCAAATGGATTAACATGAAAACTACTAGTCTTTTTAAAGTCAGGCACCGTTTGTAGCATTGTTAAGGTCCGTAAATCCCAAATTTTCTCATCAATAAGCACGAGCAGGTTAGAAGGATGAAAGGCATTGCAAAAGGACTCCGTAAACCTGTCAAAACGGTAGATTGGCTTGTCACCACAACGAATATCCCACAGAACGGCGTCACTGAGAATAAGCTGTGAAAAGGCATCAAATGTAGCCACATTGTCCCAGTTTTCTCCAACCCATGACGGGTCACTGAATTGGCGCACCTCTTGCTGAGCCGAGATATCATAAAGACGGCATGTGTGAGGTTCATGACACGTAGTGAGTAGAAACTCATTGGAAGTAGAAAATCGCGCAGCACGGCTATCCTCCACAGAGTATTTGACGACTGGAAGCGTATCACGCCGCATAACAGCTACGGTGTCTTCGCTGCTCAATATCGCAAGCATCTCCCCGTTACCAGACACAAAAACGCCAGCCACACTATTGTTGTCAAAGACAAGGTGCTGTTCCAGTAGTTTTTCCCCAGAAGAATCATCTGGAAATGTATCAAAAAGGGCAATCGCTCCTTCTGTTGTTCCCACAATTAATGTGTCCCCCCCATCACAGAATGCGATCGCCTCTCCTTGCATTCCATCATCATCACACGAGATATCAAACAAATGCCCTGGGTGTCGGTAGATAAAATGATTTTCATTATTTCTCATTCGTAAGGAAAAGTCACTACCCATTTTTTTAGCTAGCCCACGGCTAAACGCATTGCGTGTGTGGTCAACAGCAGTCAATGGGTAATACACATGACTTTTGCGCAAATCAAATTGAGGAAGGGTAGAAATCGGGTTGGTACAATTCTCATGTTGTTGTCGCAAATACGAGCGTATGATACCGTCAAGGGTAGGTGCACCAATGGTCGGCAAGGCCGCGACATCTGTAGTCGCATGCATCGATGTTTGCAGGTGCGAGGCATCTGAGGAAAGGTGGGCATCATGGCGCAGAACTGAAGCTGAATTTTGCAACCCCTCAGATTCCAAGTAACGGGAAATGAGTTCCAACAAAGATTCCCGTGAATAACTAATGTGTGAACGAGCAATAATGGCTTGTCGTCGTTCCAATTCCAGAGAATCTACAGAAACCGTTAAAGCGGCCTGATTCGCTTTGTCAAGGATAAAACATTTAACGTTTTCCATAAAACGACCTGTTGCATGTACATCGCTCGTAGTATGACGAGACCCCATCATGGAAATAAATTCCTTTTGAACATCCTCGTATTGTTTCAACAATTCCCTGGCCACTAAACTCACTCCTAGAGCGTCAAAAAGGAGACTCGTGTCAGCATAACGTCGCAGAGTTACCATCAACTGTAGAGCCCGAGCGATGACTGGAAAAATATGAAGTTTGGCTGACATCGCTGCATCCTTTCTAATCTTCAAAACCTCCAACAAGGTTCGAACACCATCGCTGGCCCTGATTATACTACAGATCTGATTAAATGCAGCTACAGATGCCTCATCAGTTTTATCAATGGGAGGCACTGTTAGATGCAACAAGATCTGCAACGCGGTAGCCACACATGGAATTAAGTGTGATTCACGAGACGTATTCCCGTTTCGAGACGCAGCAGCCAAATCGCTCACTATCATAATCAAATGCACAATTCCAGACTCCGGGTACCGTGCATCTGCAATTAAGGGACGGACAAAAGGAACCACCGACAAAACACACAGAACATTCAAGGAAGCCGCAAGCAACTCCCAACGACCCTGAGTAAAGTAGAATTGGGTACATCGAAGTAAAAGTTGGTGAAAATTGTTTTCAATTAAAGTTCGGAAAATCACCAGTCTCTCTCGCGTCAATAGGCTGTGAACAGTTTCAATCGACACGTCAGGAATAGATGCGGAAGTAAAAGAAAGAAAACTCAATATCCATTCAACTGTTGCTGGTTCCCGAGGTAACGACGTCCCCTGAGAAGAATTCGTTACAAGAGCTGATAAAAACTGGTGTTTTCGAAAGAGAACTCTTGTGCAAAGCATCAAATGAGAGACTAGATAGACGTAAAAACACTTTAGTGCAGCCAGCGTCAAGCCCGGATAAAAAACATCAAATTGTTCTTCTGAGCTGTTTAACAGTCGTTCGATTGTACTCATAGTTGCCTGTGGACCCCCGTGCATGTCAAAGAATGAAATAACACAAGGAAAGCTCAAAGCCTGAAAAAGAAAACCACCAGCACTACTTTGTACATCTTGACTAGAGGCATTTTTCCAATGATGCAGAATAAAACTCATCACGGGTTCAAAATACTCTCCATGGTTTCGAAGAAGTTTTTCAAAAACGGAGCTTCTTGCGAGTTGAGACAACACAATACAGCATCCATAGTTAGTTGAAACTTCTAGATTTGCGTCAATCAACGTCATAATCCGTCTCAATCCGCCTAATTCAAGGAAAACCAACGCCAATTTCCTATGGGAAAGCAAGGCATTCAACACCCAACCTACCCTTGCTACAATTTCCCTCGTCTGACGATAGTGCTCCTTCGTATTATGCAATATTGTGTCCCATCGCAAACGTATTTCTAATGCATCTTCATCCACAGCCCCATCTTCTTCTTCCATTCCCAAAAGGGTCCTTTCTCGGGCATCGGCATTTTTTTCAGCAGTTATCGCCTTCGCCGCGGCAGCAGCTAAATCAACACTATCCAGAACCTGAATCATGGATTCAATCGCCTGAAACTGAAGTGCTGGGAGTATGGCCTCTCGTTGATGACAAATAGCTCCTATAACGGCGCAATTTAACATAAATTCCTCCAGTTTAAAGTCAATATCCTCTGCCCTCATGGTTTTCATGGTTAAAAATCGTTGCCATAAAACAACTTCATCATGCGGTTTTTTGTATTTGTAACGGAAAACACGAGGCTTGGTATCGTTATCCGCAGCAGAATCCACATTTCTTAGCCATTTAACTAAAATTTCATCCGTGGTTGTTACTCCCAAGACTTCACCAACATCACAATCCTCAGCCTGATTTTCAAAACCCCATGCAGGGCCTCGACCCACTTTCTCCCCTTTTTGTGGTTGCCAATATTCAATTTCTTCCTGGTAGTCTGTTTCTCGGTTCGCTCCTTCCAATCTCCTCCTCTTAGCTGGACGCTCTGCCGATTCACCCTCTTGATTCTCACGTGCATTCTTTATTCTTGAAAATAGATGTTTTTCATACCCCGTATTAGTTATTTCCCGTTCTCGTATTTGTATTTCGGAAGCAGTGTCCATCCGTGCATTCGCGGTGTCTGAGGATGGACTATCATTATTCATTGGGGCTGATGCTGAACTTGAGGGCGGTGCCACTCCTGCAGCAGTAGTTGTATTTCTACCCACAACCTCTGGTGACGCCCTTCTCGAGCTAATAGGCGAAGTCGGATTACTCTGGATTACGGCGGAGTAATACCTAAATGGTGAACCCTTGCCCTCTCGAGGGTTTGTGAGGTTTTGTTTCCCAGGATAACCAAAAATTCGATGAACAAGGTGCCTGCTCCGCTGCAACAAAATCTGAGGAAGCTGCTGGCTAAGAGCTTCAACTATGGCTTGGTCATCTTGTTCGAGCATGCTAAACGATAATGATAGTGCCAAGAGGCGCTTTCGCCTATTTTCCTCCTCAACAATAACCTTACAAAGGTCATACATGGACAAAGGATCCAAAAAACTCTCGCGTGAACCCTCCACAACCAACAAGGCAGCAAAATTGGCAAGAATCTGGGACTTCTCCAGAGTCTTGATGTGTTGGGACATGATCTGCTTCAGAGGCTCGTTTTCACTATTCGTAAAGGTGTCTGCAAGCTGCATGTTGATATTTATCAATTCACCCATGTATTCGCAAAAAGCAGTGTTATGATGAATTGTATGAGTAAGAGACTCAAATGGTAGCCGATCATGCAGGTTCAATGTATCAGTGTACACATCGGCACATTGCTGATGCTCTTCATGAAGCAATTTAGCCATACGCCCCCAGAGAAAAAGGTGAATTTCATCATATTGTCGCAAGAGTGACACCGTGCTTTCCATGGTATTTTCGTTATTTACAGCTAGTGACTGCAACTCCGAAGAAGTTCCATTCAACAGGCTCTGTATGTTTTGTGCAACCACCTTCATTTGCTTTTGTACCTTTAACAAGCGCTTCATAAGCTCTTTGACAAGGTCAATAGATGGACTTCCCACTATCATGTCCTCCTCATCATACGAGAAAACCTCCGTATCGTGCTGATCGCTGCCGTACGATGAACCAAGAGCCTCATTGTCCCTGCCATCATCTATTTGTGGTGGGTCGACTTCAGCATCGTTCATCCCTAACAGAGCCCGATGCATATTTATATTCAACGTGGATTGTAAAGGAATAACGTTTCTCAAGGACTAAAAAAAAAAAACGTCAGTCCTATGAAAAGGAAAGAGGAAAAAAAACACAAACAAGGAAGAAAACGTGGGAAAATGGTCAAAAACATAGAACATCAACATGTCACAGAGTAATTTAGGAAAA